CCTGCCCCAGCCGCCCCAGGAGAAGGCTCATGACGGTGGGCGCTACTACAGAGCCGACGATGCCAACGTGATGCGCGACCGGGACCTGGAGGTTGACACCACTCTCAAGAGCCTGAGCCAACAAATTGAGAACATCCGCAGCCCCGAGAGGGCACCCGCAAGAACCCTGCCCGTACCTGCCGCGACCTGAAGATGTGCCACGGCGACTGGAAGAGTGGTCAGTGTCCCCGCTGATGCCCTCTGGGGTGCTCACGCCTCCATCTGTCTGTCCTGTCCACCTGCTTCTCGCTTCCATCCTTCTTCCATCACCCCTGCTTGATCCTCACCTTCATTTCTCTATCCTTCACGGCTGGTCTCCTCCATCCTCTACCTCTTGTGGCTGCTCCTCACCTCCATCCTCTATCCCTTCAACCTTCTTTGCTCGTGGCTGCTTCTCACCTCCTTCCTCTGTTCCTCATGGCTGTTGCTCAACTCCATGCTCCACCCCTAGATCCCTCCTACCTGCTCCTCACCTCCCTCCTCCATCTCTCATGGCTGCTCCTCACCTCCGCCCGCCATCTCTTCACCCTCCATCTCTCACAGCCACCCCTCACCTATCCCTCCATCCCCTGACCCTCCCCCCTGCTCCTCACCTCTATCCTTCGTGGCCACTCCATTCCTTATGGCTGGGTTTTCCATCGTGGCTATCTATCTGCCTCGCTTCCCACTCCCTGACCCTCCTCCCTCTGCCCCACAGGTGAATACTGGATTGACCCCAACCAAGGCTGCAACCTGGATGCTATCAAGGTCTACTGTAACATGGAGACGGGTGAGACGTGTGTCTACCCAACCCAGGCCACCATTGCCCAGAAGAACTGGTACCTCAGCAAGAACCCCAAGGAGAAGAAGCACATCTGGTTTGGCGAGACAATGAGCGATGGCTTCCAGGTGAGCACGGGGATGATGAAGTGGGGGCAACCAGGATGGACAACCAGCTCCGCGGTGCCTAATGCCTCTTCTCTGGCAGTTCGAGTACGGTGGTGAGGGCTCCAACCCCGCTGACGTCGCCATCCAGCTGACCTTCCTCCGCCTGATGTCCACTGAGGCCTCCCAGAACATCACCTACCACTGCAAGAACAGCGTCGCGTACATGGACCAGGACACTGGCAACCTGAAGAAGGCCCTTCTCCTCCAAGGCGCCAATGAGATTGAGATAAGGGCTGAAGGCAACCGCCGCTTCGCCCACGGAGTCACTGAGGAGAG